TGCCAAACACACCCTTCCCATTTGGGGGCCAAATTAAGGAGTAAACAAACAAAAAGAGAAAAAAGAAAAAAACAGAATTGAAGGCATGACCCTCCCCCAGCTTTGGGGTGGGAGGAATAATTAAAAGCCAGGGCTTTTCCATGGGAAGGGCCTTATGCAAATTGCCCCATTGCCCTCCCCCTGATTGGGTTTCAGGGGGGACCATCCAGGGGCGGGGCCAACTCCCGGGGGAGGGGCCCCAGGCATTTAATGCCGGCCTTGGCTTTGATCAGAGTTGGGGGGGGGGGGGGCTGATTTCAAGGGCAGGGCCCAGCGGGGGGAGGGGCTGCGGGTGTTTGACCACCTGGGCCTGCCCTGATTGGAGTGTGGGGGACCCATCAGGGGTGGGGCTGGCCAGGGGGAGGGCCACAGGAGATTTGCCGGCAGGCCCCACCCCCTATTGGAGTAAGGGTGGTTGGGGGTGGGGCCGGCTGGGGGGAGGGGCTGCAGGAGGTTGGCCAGCTGGCCCCGCATCCTATTGGGGTACTGGGAGTGATTGGGGATGGGGCTGGAGGGAGGGAAGTTGGCTGGCCGGCCCCACCCCCAATTGGGCCAGTTTGCTGGTTGCAGTGGGCAGCATAGCAACAGGTCGTTCCGGTCATTACAGCATTCTGGTCACTGACTTTTTATATATATAGACTAGAGGCCCGTTGCAAGAAATTCGTGCATGGGGGTGGGGGCCCCTAAGCCTAGCCTGCACCCTCTCCAGGATCCCTCTCACAACCCAGAACCACTGGCTCCTAACTGGCTCTGCCTGCCTGCCTGATCTCCCTAACTGCTCTCCCCTGCCAGCCTGATCTCCCTAACTGCTCTCCTCTGCCAGCCTGATCTCCATAACTGCTCTCCCCTCCTGGCCTGATCCCCCTAACTGCCTAACTGCCACCTTCTCCCTTCTGCCTTCTCGCGCGGCGCTGGCCTTCTCCCTTCTCCCTTCACCCACAGTGCTGCCTTCTCCCTTCTGCCTTCTCCTGCGGTGCCTCCTCCTGTGGCCTCTGCAAAAGGGACTGTGGCACTGGACCGACCCCCACAGCCACTGCAGCTGCCGGCCCTCAGCGCTTGCAGCCGCTGTGGCTTTGTTTGAAAGGATGTCTGGAAGAAAGTCAGAAGACGTCCGGTCTAATTAGCATATTAATCTTTTATTAGTATAGACTAGAGGCCCAGTACATGAAATTCGTGCACAGGTAGGGTCCCTAGATCATATTCCCCGCCTCCCCACCTCCTCCTTCCCTTGTTCCCTCAGCGGTCCACTGCTGCTGCCGCTGGTCGCCTGCCATGTTCCGTGCCGCCCCCTGGCAGTCAGCGCACATCATAGCGAGCAATCAAACTCCCAGTTTCCTGGTCGAACTCCCGAGGGGACACTTTGCATATTAGCCTTTTATATAATAGTATATAGAAGATGCTTTCTTATAGAGTCTTGGCTCAGAATTCTTTCCTCGCCAGAAGTCAAGTACCGAAGTTGCTGAACCCAGATCTAGTCTGACCCCACGGGTCCAACACCCAGTGCTATTTCTGCCACCTGCAACATACCTATATATTTATTTACTGGGGGTTTGTTTCAATGGTGTAGGTTCCAAAAAAAAGAATGTTGGGCAAAAGGGCAGGTACATTTTAAATTTTAATAAATATTGCCAGATTACTATCACAATTACATAATACAAACTCATGTTGCCAACAGCACTGTCTGACATGCCTATTTCCCACACCCTCACTAGCACTGACTCGATGTAATGAGGGAAACATGGGCTCTCATGGTTATTATATTTTCCAGATCACTTATAAAACTGGCCATCTTTTCCTTTATCAGCCATGTGTAATTTCTCTTTTGCAAATTACCAGTTTTTAATGGGTTGTTTGATTTTTCTTATCAAGGAATAGCAGCTCTCTGGGTAAAAGTGACATTAATCCTTTGTTGGTCATGAAGAGCAAATCAGTTTTGGTAGTCTATTGTTTGATTTTTTGTTATTGTCGTAACTAGCTAGTTAATATTAATAAAGGAAGCTACATTTTCACACAGCATTGTGTTCCCCTATCTGGTACTGGATTGCTGAGGGGAGAAAGGGGAGGGAGGCACATACACAGAAGTCAGGTGACATAGGAAAGGTGCTTGCCTGTAGGTCTAGCCTGGGTGTGAGGGCACTGTCTAAAGTATGGTGGATGTTCAAGGCCAAGGCCAATTTGTCAGACGCAGGTGCAAAAGCAAGGACACAACAATCTTACACTGCGCAGGCGTACTTTTCCATAACTGAAATACTGAGTTCACTATTTGGCCAGAAGGGTCTTTTGTTTGAGCTTGTTTGAACTTGTATATAAGTTGCCACTGACTTTCCAGCCTGTTGTTGGCTGCTTTGTTTGTAATAAAGCATGTCCCATTTGCCTACTTGTACCTGCATGTTTTTTTTCAGTTTCCTGCACCCAGAAGGGTCAAGTACCTGGCTAAGGAGCTTGCCTCTGATACTGGGGAACAATGGATTGGCTAGGGGGTAGACTCTAACAGAAGCTGTGAAATCTTGGCAAGTTAATTGGTTAGTTTGAAGAAGCTCCTGGTTAAAAATGCCTAAAGAGTTCCCTCTTTCTGGCCCTTGCTCTCTTGCTCCATGTTCTCTCTCCATAGCCATATCGCTTTAAGCAGCCACATGGCCGTGACCATTCGAACACCACATGCAGGATGCTGGACTGAACTTTAATATGGAGCAGAAACTATGGGCAGTGGCCGTTATTTTAGCCCTGCTGAGGACATGGTTGGACTTCCATGGGGATGCGAACAGAGATGGGACCTCGGAGGGGAATCCCCTTAATTTTACATCATAAATAAAGCTTTCCAAGAAACCCCATCATCCAGTGGTGGCCTCAGGAAATTCATTTCCTCTCGGTACTCCAAAAACCCCACTTCCACCGATAACATTTTGACTTTGCTTATAGCATCTTTTACCATACAATTTTTATGTAGTCAGATATATATCTTTTCCTTCTTCCTTTCTGAGTTTCCTAACTTGCTTACCCAGTTTATTATGTC